CTGCAGGCTGGCGCTCCTCGCCTCTGCTCCTGCAGCCTGTCTACCAGCCTGTCTCTTGCTGTGTGTGTGTCGCCGTGTGCATGTGTCTGTGGTGTGTGCACATGTGTGGTTGGCCCCGGATGGGCTGGAGGACACAGGTGTGTTTGGATGGGGCGGTGTCCGTGTCTGCGGCTCCAGGCATAGCTCTAGTCTTCCTTCTTCCCTCCCGCCCTCTGCTCTGTACTTGCTCCACGGATCCGCTGCCCTCTTCCGAGGAGGGACGATGCTACCTGTGCCGTAGGGTCCCACATACCCCTGCGCCGGGAATAGTGTTCCTCCCTTCAAGACAACTCCCACCTGCCTGTCTGGCCCTCACTCTCCCGCGCCTTCCGGGGCAAAGCTGTGTCGGATGGCTTGGCAGAGTAAGTGGAAACATAACTGTCTCTGAGGCCGATCTGTGCTCACTCAGTGCTGTCTCCCAGGCCCTGGCTGGCGCACGGCTCTTAGCTTGTCTTTAAAGGTTTGTTGGCCATGTGGTTTATGGGACCGGGGAAGGGAAGCAGGGATGGACCCTCTTTTGCCGACTTCTTCCCCTTGTTGAAAATAAGCTCATAGCGTTGGTTGGCCCTGGGGCTGGGCATGCCACCTCCACCCCAGCTCACCTCTGGTGGTACCAGTCTAAAAAATATAGGCACACCACGACTTTGGAAAACAGTTTGGAATTACCTGGTAAAGCTGATCACATGCATACCTTACAACAGAGAAATTCCATTCCTGGGAATACCTAGAGGGACTCTTGCACACAGAAACCAGAAGACACATACAGAATGTTTTGAAGTAGTCCCAAACTGGAAACAACCCAAATGGCCATCAACATTAGAATGGATAATTAACTTGTAGTATTTTCACACAATGGAATGCTATACAGGAAAAAAAATGTGACCAAATTATAGCTCCACTCATTAACACGAACGAATCTTTAAAAACCATACAATGATAAGTCAAAGAAGCAAGACACAGAATATATTTAGAGTGAGTCTAATTGTAGAAACTAAAACAAAACAAAACAAAACAAAAAAACCCACAAAAAAACCCCAGGCAATCTAAACAATATTGTTTAGGGATATACACAGAGGGAGGAAACCATTAAAAAAAGGTGGGGAGGCAAGGATTGTCATTAAATGGAGGATGGTGGTTCCTCTGGGAAGAATGTGTCACCACCGTTGGGCACGTGGGCTTCTAAGGTACTTGGAATATTCATTGACCTGGGGGCTGGGCGTTTGTTTTTTATTGTTCTTTATACTGCATTTATGCATGTTACGTACTCTTCTGTATATATCATACATTTTACACAAGAAAAAAAAGGGATGGTATGTGCTCGACTCTGCCCCTTTTCTCCACGCAATCCCTATTCTTGTCCTCGGCTGCCGGAGGAGGGGCCAGGGTCCCTCATCCAGTTCTCCTCGTTTCTGAGTGGGTCAAAGGAATATGGGGGTGAGGGCCTCCCCTCTGCAGCTGGGCCCTGGCTACTCCAGGGTGAGAAGGCCTGGGGAAAGTCGGGCCAGGCGAGGCCGGCTGGCTCGGCTCTTTCTGCCAACTCTGGGGATTAGCCCAGGGCTCTGGCCCACCTGTTGTTTCACTCATTCAACATGCACAGAGCACGGAGCACTTACTGTGAGCACTGGGTGCTGTTGGGAGGGTTCTGATAAGTGAGAAGTGGTCTTTGACCTCAAAGATCTTACAGTGTACTCAGAGGGAATCATATACGCGAATAATACGGTACCAGAAAAATGTGAGCTAAGCGTTACAGGACTACTTATCTACTCTCTCAATAAACATTTGTTGGGCACCTATTATGTACCAGGAACCGTGCTGGATGGTGAACATATAAGGCCAGTTGAATCACAATCCTGGCCCTTAAGTTCTTAGCCTAATTCGGAGGAAACACCCATCCAAGATAAATACAACAGTGGGGCAAGCCCACTGAGGCAGATAGGCCCAGGGAGAAGCAGGAAGGCCACCTCCTCTCACTCCTGCCTGCTTAGGCTAGGTGAGATGGAGTGGGGAAGGTTGGAGTAGGGAGATCTTCCTAAACATTCAGACCCTGAACTGAGGCTTAGGGATGAGGAAAACAAGGACAAGGCGAAGGGCTGGAAGGACATCCTTTGCAGAGGGACCAGCTGGGCAAAAGCACAGGGGTAAGGAACAGCACCTGAGGACTAGTTGCTACCAAAACACAAGTACTCAGCAGGGGTGGGGAGAGAAGCAGCTGGAGGGGACAGCCGAGGGGGATCAGAGTCATATTTGCCTTGTAAAAACCTTAGATTTTATAGGTGCTGAGATCCACTGAAAGATTTAAGGGGAGCTGGATAGTTCACTCTGGCTCAGAATAGAGGAAGTGTTGAGGGACACGGATTGGAGGAAGGCGGACAGGTTGTCAGGTTGTTGTGGATCCAAAAAATATTTAGATAGGCTAGTTCTGTCTGAGAGTAGATGGGTGGTGGGTATGGGAGACACCAGCTCCCTGCCCGGCCACCAGGTGGAGCAGGGTGAAAAGAGGGCTGCAAGCCAGAACTAGTGGGGCTCTGGGCTCTGGGTACCAAGGAGCACTAAGTGTGGGCAGAGGATGGTGAGGAATGAGAACGGGATCCTACACAATTTGATCCCAGGGTTCGCAAAGGCTGGCTTGTGGACAGGACTGGACTGACGAAGCAAGGGCATGTAATGAGCTGCTTATAAATGAAATGTATGCACACTGAAAAACTATCCTTAGAAGCGTTTGCAATTCAGTCAATAAAGAAGCACATCACTTAGGCATCAAGTGCATTACCAAAAGAAATCTCTTAAAGATTCAAGAGTGGTTTAATCCTGGGGAGGAGGGGTGGAGGACGGGTTATTTTTTTAAAAAAGTAAACATGTTAAACTATCATCTTTTAAAACTCATGAACATAAAACATATATGTAATTTTAAAAAAGAAAGCACTGGCTTTTGTTCTGAGTTTACATCCCTTCCACTTTAATTGCTAAAAGTGTCTTTTTTTCTCTTTTTGGTATGAAACGATACAAGATAGAGGATAGCCAGCTTCTTCCCCGCTCCCCTCACGTCCTCATCTGGCAAAACAAAACAAACGAAAAGACCGTGAGCCCTGGGCATCCTGACATCCGAGACTGGGAGCCGCTGGTGCAGAGCACGGGGCCTAAGGCCGGAGAGCGGCGACTCTGCTCGCCTGCAAGCCCGCGGGCGGCCGGCAGAGGTCAGGCGAGTTCCACGCAGGCCCCGCGGAACCGCGCCCGAGTCCGGGAGTCCCAGCAGCGCTCCCTCGGAGGCGCGGGGTACGGGGAGGACACCCGGCCTGCCCTAACCTAGGGGTCGCGACTAACGGTCACCCGGGACCTCGGTCCCGGCTCTACCGGGCGGGGCGTAAGCTGGGCGCCAGCCGCCGAATTAAAAAGAGGGTTCTCCCACCCCACCTCCCACGCCGCGTTCACACCCGCTCTGGCTCCACCTCGCGTCTGGGCGTGGCTGGGTGGCTGGCTCCCGGCAGGCCGAGTTCGGTTCCCCGGGGCCACTCACCTGTCATCTGGAAGGCCGCCCTGCACAACACTGTCTCCCACACGGGGTTGTGGTCAAGACCAAGGAGCTAATACATCAAATCCAGACTTGAGAGTGTCACGTAAGACTTACTTTTACTAGAATTAGGATTCAGGCCTCGGGGGGAAGTGTCCTCTAGGTCCCAGGTCCATTTTTCTAAAAGGTTGCCCGCGCCTCAGAATGGCCCCTGGGAATGTGATTAGGTCCAGGGTTGACCAAGGAACCGGCATTTTACTGGTTGCCAAATTCTGATCAACAGCGTGCCCAGACCACACTTGAGAACCATTCTCAGCTTCTGTTGCCATCCCACAGGACAAACACTAGGCAAACAAGGAATGGGGGCCTGGGCTGGTCGTGTGACCCGCCTAAAATTGGAGTGGGTGGCGTTAGAAGCAGCCCCAGGAAGGACTAGCCCCAGGAAGGACTAGCTGGTGCTGTGGTTACACAATGCTCAGAAATCAAAACCCCCCAAAAGAACCAAAGTGAAGTGCCCCTTGCTCTTCCATTCGCGAATCAGGCTACACTCTATTTTTGGCTTTATTTTAAAATACACCTTTTCTATTTCATATATAGCATTGGGAGAACAGTCACATTCTACTCAAGTTGGTGGCGGGGCTCCGTAGCGCACGTGGACTGGAGGAAACCTTCCATCCTGTCACATTCTGAACAGCTCCAGGCTGCTTGTTCCAGCTACACTTTAAACCCAGCAAGACCACTATTTCGGCCCCATTCATGTCCAACAAAGCAGGGGGCAGGCCAGGGAAGTAAAGAGACAGTGCCACAAGCCCTGGGTTTCCCCCTGAGGATAGAACTGGGCTAACTCCACCTGTCTCAGGCATCAGGCTGGAAAAGCACTTGGCCGCAGGCCAGCACCAAAAGTCCGAAAGGCACCCCTGGGCCGAGAGACAAGAAAACCGGTTCTTTTAGGGAATTTAGATACGGTGGAACAACCCAAACCCATTCCACTCTTGACTGTGCAGGGGGGCTCCAGGCTGGCATTCTCATTTCTGCTGATCTAGATTCTAGCTCCAGTTCTGATCTTGGGAAAACCAAATTGTCTTTATCTTTTAAGATTTTATTTACTTGAGTGTGTGTGAGCAGGTGGAAGAGCAGAGAGGGAGGGAGGCAGAGGGGAAAGAATCTTGAGCAGACTCGTGCTGAGCGTGGAACCTGACGTGGGGCTTGATCCCATGACCCTGAGGTCATGACCTGAGCCGAAACCAAGAGTTGGAAGCTTAACCGATTGAACCACCCAGGCGCCCCTGTCTTAGTCTTTTAAAAACATGGGGATGGGGCGCCTGGGTGGCTCAGTTGGTTAAGCGACTGCCTTCGGCTCAGGTCATGATCCTGGAGTCCCTGGATCGAGTCCCGCATCGGGCTCCCTGCTCGGCAGGGAGTCTCCTTCTCCCTCTGACCCTCCTCCCTCTCATGCTCTCTGTCTCTCATTCTCTCTGTCTCAAATAAATAAACAAAATCTTTAAAAAAAAACAAAAACAAAAACATGGGGAGGGTGTCCAGAAATGTATAAGCTTCCTTCTAGCTCTCAGACTCTTATTTCTCTGGACTCCCTCCTTCCTTTAAAACCACTGGGAGATCTGGGGAAGGGAGGTTGAAACCTCTTCTGTCCTCAAGGCAGATGCCATCTCTTTGTCCCGCATCACCAATGAGTAGGCAGGAGGACAGGAGTAGGACCTGGACTAACTACTCCCCAAGGCATGGAGCTAGCGCCAGACAGGCAGCAGTAGCAAGTAGACTGCTTCACCCCCCAAAACACCAGTTTAGAAGCAGATGGGTTTGCTTCCTAATGCTTAATACAAAATGGCAGCAGCCGCGGGGCTGTTGTAACAAAACTAGCCATAGGGCACCCAGAGAAATGTACATAGGCAGCCTTGGCTGGAGTTGAGCTGCCAGCCAGGCCTGCTGCCCAGTCAGCTGAGGACTGTCATCCGGCCAGGACTAGATGGTGGCAGTGCAGAGCAGGGCTGAAGGGCTCAGAGATGCTGCTGTGGAGGCTGGCGCCGAGCTGATCCCTCGCAAGCACACTGACCTCTGCGCCCCCCCGGTGCAGTCTGGGTGGCCCAGGTCTGAGATGCTCCACCCCAACACCATGGGGTTTCCGCCCTAAAGGACTGAAGCCCTCGGGGGACGGAGGGACTGCTGCTGAGCGGGTGCCTGCTCATAAGCTACTGGGAACTGATGCCTCTAGAAATCAGCAGAAACAAAGGCTAGGTTTGGGTTTTTTTTTTTCCCCCTAGAAAGAAGAGGCTGCCAGGTTCAAATACATGTAGAGGGGCAATGCGTCTGGTGTACTGGGCCCCCTGCCAGAGGCATAGCCCCCCTCCCCTCCAAAAAAAGAGGAGGCTGCCTGCCCGCCCCCAAGTGCTCACCCAGGGAAGTGGAGGGCTCGGACGTTAGAGAGTCACCAAAGCCTTCCCAGCAAGCCCCAGAAAAGCCAGTATGCTTCCTGCTGGGTCCATTTTAAGCCACAGAACACTTTTCAGGGAGGCCCTCCCCCCACCTCAACCCTCATTAATGTCAGGCAGCATCTTCAGACCAGAAGGTGTGACTAGAAATGGCACTCCCTCTCCCCCATGCCTGCCTGTAACTTGCGGCATCCGGGCAGGCTGGCCGGGCTCTGGGGCCCAGAGCACTTGTCAGCTGTGGTAGACACCTCACGCGGAGGCCAAGGGCTGATGCAAGTGCAGCTGAGCAGCAAGAGAGCTGCCGTATCTCTCTGTCCAAAGAAAGGCCTCTAGGTGCTGAGAAAGGGAGTGAAGGGTCTTGGGGTTAGTGGAAGTCGGCGTTGAAGGCTCTGCCGATGATCAGCCGCCTCACCTCACTGGTCCCAGCCCCAATCTCATACAGCTTGGCATCTCGCAGAAAGCGGCCCATGGGAAAGTCGTTGATATAGCCATTGGCACCTGCAGCCAGGGTTCGGGCCGAGAAGAAAAGACAACGGGAGGTGATGGGCAGTGAGGAAAGCAAACGGAGAGCCAAGTATGTAGAAACAGGCCAGGGGAGGAGAGCACTGATTAAAGAGAAGCAGCAAATGGTGGTGAGAGGGGAGGCTGTGGGGAACACCAGCGGGGACGAGGGGCCGGAAGGCCACCCAGAGAGCTGAGGCCACCAGGCAAAGATGGGGACCACCACTGGCCGACCTGCGGGGGCAGACAGGAAGACACTGCGCAGCAGTCACCGGGTGCCAGGCCCAGGGAGGGCACGTCATTTGCACAGGTCACGAAGCCAGTCGGTGGCAGGGCTAGGCTTCAAACCCAGGCCTTCTGGCCCAGCTCCGGGCTCTGCAGCGCTGTGCAGCACTGCAACGAGGCCGTCCCGCCCCCGAGGCGTCCCTCCCTCCCCACTTCCCAGGATTCACGGGGGGGCACTGCTGCAGGGACGGGCCCCTCGGGGCCTCTGGCAGTTTTCTCATTTGCTTTAACTTGTCTTCCTAGTGACTGGGGCAGAAGCCTAAAGGTGCCGGCTCAGCGGCAGTGAGCGGAAGCACTGCGGCTGGGAGTGGGGGCCACTCACCGAAGCACTGAATGCCGTCCAGGGCCACCTGTGTGGCGCACTCAGCTGAGTAAAGGATCACCCCCGCGCAGTCCTGTGGGAGGGGGCTCCGGGTCAGCAGGGCCCTGCCAGGGCCACGCAGGGAGGGAGTGCCCACAGCCGGCCCTTACCTTGGCAGTGCAGTGGCCCTGATCACAGGCCTTGGCGACATTGTAGACATACTGCCGACAGGCCATGAGGCGGGTGTACATGTCGGCCATTTTCCCCTGCATCAGCTGGGCACAAGGGGGGGTGGTCACAAGTCAACACGCTGGAGCCACGTTCCTCTCAGACACTCCCCCTAGTCACCCAAAGCAGGTCAGCGGTAGCCACCCGAGAGCCGGGCCCGGGGATGCCAGGGCACAGCGAGGAGACTGGACTTGCCTGGGTGACAGAGATGCCCAGAGAGCAGCCGCCGCACTGTGGAGCCCGCAAGCTGAGAGGGCCCTCCCCCGGCCACAACCCCCACGGACGTCCAGGGTGGCTTCACAGCAGGAAGCATGACCAGAAATGCTGCTCCCTTCCCTCGGGCCTGCCTACAACCTGCATGCTTCACCGTCCAGCCTTACAATGTCTAGTTCATTCATCTCGAGTAGGAAGTGAGCAGACACGAGAGCCACTTCCTGACAAGTTCCCAAAGCCAGGTGGCATGCCGAAGGAGCCTCCGATCCAAGCCTCCAGACTCATTTTGGTGGCAAAAGATAGGGAATGCCCCACTTGCTCATTTGTTAAAGATAATCTGCACCCAATGAAAACGTACATTTCAGCAAAAGCATTCCACTCACCTGGAAGTGGCCAATCTTCTGGCCAAAGGCTTCCCTTGTGTGTAGGTAGGGAATGGTGTGGTCGAGGACAGCCTGCATGAGCCTGCCAGAAAAGAGAAGGACACTGAGGAGGCGCCTCGCTGTACCCCCATTGCCAGTGGGGGTGGCAGAATGCCAACGTGGGAAGACTTGGGGGGAGACGGCTTGGCAGGACAAGGAGCTGGAGTCTCAGGCAGGAGAGGAGGAGCATGAGGACTCTGATCACCCCTGCTCAGTCACTGCACCGACTGCCCAGGACTTGTGCCTGTCTCCCTGACACCAGATGGAGGGGCAGGACCCCTGTGCAGACAGGCCTTAGAGCCTGGGTGTCCTGTTTCATCCTGAATAATTAAGCAGAATGGCACCTCAGGCCTCTTGTCTGTCATCTGATAATATTTCCTTTCATTGTGAAGAAAGCACATGTGGGAGGAGGAGGTTTGCTCATTTTGTCTCCAAGAAAGAAGGTACATCTTCCAGGAGGCAGTTCCCATTGGCCCCCACAAGGGGAAGGCTGTGATGTCACGATCTGCTAAGGAGGCCAAAAGCCCAGCTCCCCCGAGCCTCACACTCACCCAAGGGGCCCACCAGCCAGCACCAGCCGCTCCAGGTCCAGCCCACTCATCAGCACGTAGACGCCCTTACTTAGATGGCCCAGGATGTTGGCAGCTGCCGGGAAAAGTGCCAGTCAGGGGGGAGAGGGCTGTCCACAGCCTCCTCACTTTTATAAAAGCTGCTAGGTTTGCTTTTGTGGCTTTCACACAGGCCCTAAAACGTCACCTGACTTCTGACCTTCAACTAGGGTTCCGAGTGAGAGAAAAGGATGGAGCTTACTACTTCCACTTAGATGTAGAGCTTGCTATGGAGCTCCTGGGTGACTCAGTCAGTTAAGCCTTGGGATCAGGTTATGATCTCAGGGTCCTGGGATGGAGTCCTGCTTCGGGCTCCCTGCTCAGCGGGGAGTCTGCTTCTCCCTCTCCCTCCCCACTCCCCCACTCATGCGTGCTCTCTCTCAAATAAATAAATAAAATCTTAAAAAAAAAAAAAAGGAAGTAGAGCTTGCTAGAGGGCCTCCCCCCACAACCACCGCTCCGCCACACACACACACGCACACACACACACACACACACACACACACCATTCATAAGACAAGACACAAAGGCCCCATCTTTAGACGTTCCCTTTCTCTTCCTCGACTGCTCTGGATGGGAAAAAAAAGCTAATTTGGTCTAGAAGCTATCCAACCCCTCCCTAGTTCTTTTTACCCATGCCCATAAAGGAGACTGAGAATTACTGTCCCCCGGGTTGAGTCTGCTCTCTGCTCCAATATCATCAGCCCCTAACCCTGACAAGAGTGGTATCTGGAACAGTCTTTGTCTAAGAGACAGGTCATTCAGTGCTAGAACCTGCTAAGCACCTCCCCACCCCGGAAGCCAGGGCACTGGATGGCCTTGGGAGGTGTGGGCAGGAAACCCAGGACAGGGTGGACCACTGACCCGCCTAATGACGGCACTTATTTCCTGCTGACGAAGAAGAATCCACACTGATCCCGCCTCCCTAGATGCTCCTTGTAACCAAAGCATACTGTTCTGGGTTCCTGGGTCAGGGGGGAGAGGGATGGTCTTTGGCCGAGGCACAGAGCAAACCCGGCTGGTCATCACACCTATGCCCTTGGTCTAATTAGCACGCGACGGGTATGCCGGCTCTCCCACTGTGGGTCACGTTTTTAGTTACACTTCAGGGGCAAACTGAATTCCCTTGTCTTCCCTGAGTCTGGCTTCCTTCAGTGTATCTGAATGGTTTTTTTAGCACCGTTAATGAGTCCCTCACCTGGCTGTTCAGGGGAATGCACAAACAAGGACGTCTGGAGGACAGGAGAGGGTGAGGGCACATCTCAGCCATCTACTCCAGGCACTGGCACACCCTGGGCACTGTGTATCAGTCACATAGGAAACAGCACCCTGTAGGGCAGCCACAGGCAGGCCCGCAGCTCTGGCCAGAAGGACAGCTACCCAGCAGCCCAAAGCCCACACGTATGGGCCCATGGACAAGCGCAATAGAGAGAGGCCCACCATCTAGACACATGGCCTCGGTAAGCTAATAATGGTGAGCTTCTCTTACTCAGAGATGGGCTTTCTCAGCTTATGATAGGGTCAGACAGGGGCTTGCCCATTCTCAGGGACTCACCAGGAACCTTGCAGTCTTCAAAGATTAGCTCACAGGTGTTAGAGCCCCTCATCCCCAGCTTGTCCAGCTTCTTGGAGGTGCTGAAGCCAGGCATCCCCTTTACGGGAAAAACGTGGCCCCGATTACAGACCAGTCACCAAGGCGGGGACTAGTAAAAGGCAGACCCTTGGGAAACGCCCACCCTCCCACCCAGTCCCTGAATTTGCATGCTACCCCTAGGACCCCCACTCTGTATGGCCGCCCCACTCCTAGAAGCTCCAGCCCTAACATCCCACCCTCCTCTGCCGCTAGGTGCGTTCCCCCCACTTCTCACGGGAGCAGTTCCTTCTCAATCAAACACCCACTCCCTGAGCAGCCCCGGGCCTTTGCCGGCTTTGTTTCCTCTCCTCAGGGGAAAGCACTTCCAAGACCCTCTCTCCAGGTAACTCAATTCCTTTGGCTCTGTTCCTCTGCCATCTGTACCTGAGTCCCACCCAGGACCAATTCAGCCACCTGCGTGCTCTGGCCTGGCTAACCAGATGCAGTATGCATTGCCAAGTGCCTGGCAGAGAGTGCGGACGCGCAGGCTAACGACAGTGGTGCCGCGTGACCGTGAGATTCCCAATGTCTGCCGGGCCCTTTGGACTACTCACTTTTCTTTCCTCCAGTCTTAGTCCCCTTTCTCCATGGAGGGTATTGCAAACCTCTATGACACTCAATTATTGGAATTCTCTCGCAGCTCCCCAACCCCTACGGTTCCCAGCGCTCACACCGCACAGTCATGAGGCAGATGGCTTCTCCACCGTCACCTGTAACCCAGCCCTCCCTTTCCCACGGCTCACTGTTGGGTTTGGCTCACTTACTCCCACACACCTCAATTTCTTCATTTTCCTTTCTCTCTACCAAATAATTTGCTCAGTTTTCTCCCATTCTTAAAAACAAACTCAAATGTCCCCCTTTTCATTCCAACTCCTGGTCCATCTCCCCCTTGCTTTGCTGCGGCCTTCATCCACTGCCCCCCCTCCGCCCCCGACCTTCCTGTTCACAGGGTGCTCTCCACAGCCACTCTCCCCAAGGCCACCAGGGACACCCTGGTTGTCAGATCCAGTTGCCTCCTTCCAGTCCTTATCTTCCTGGACCTCTCTGTGTGGCTTCACCATGCTCAGACCTGACTCATCCTTCTGGGGCTCCCAGTTTGGCCACCCTCCTTTCAGTCGGCTCTTCTACTCCGCCCTCACCTCAGGGAGCCTTGGCAGAGCACACACTGATTGTGTCTGCGACAAGCAGAAGAGAGCCATCTCTGGTACTGACTTCAGGAGACAAAAGCCTCCCGGCATGCACTGCCCTCCACTCACCTTTTCCACAATAAAGGCCGTGATGCCCCGAGAGGCTGGCACAGCAGCCGGATCTGTCTTGGCGTAGATAATAAGGATGTCAGCATCAGGGCCATTGGTGATCCAGAACTTGTTCCCATTCAGGATGTAGTGATCACCTAAGGACAAGAAGTTGGCTGCTCAAGCCATGTTGGCCTGTCCCAACCAGTGAGTTCATGAACCTGCTGCTGGGCAGGAAGCTGCCCTGCTGGGACAGTTCTGGAAACCTGGCAGAGGCCACCTCCATTGACTGCTCCCTCACCCTGAGAAGGGCTGTCCCTCTGTCCATTTCAGTTCCCATTCCAGAAGCTCCCAAGGCAAGAGGAGCCTCACCTTTCTTTTCTGCTTTTAGCTTCATGGAGACAACATCAGAGCCAGCATTGGGCTCACTCATGGCCAGGGCTCCGATGTACTCACCACTGATCAGCTGCAAGGAAAACCACAAGGGCTGGTTATGACTTCAGTAGTCCTCTATGGGAGCTTACGGCATTGCTTCTCTCCTGTTCACATGACACCCCTTCAGACTTCTCTCAGACCAGGTATTGGTAAAGTCCTGGAAGAGAAGCCCACTATCTGTAAGACTAAAAATATCTCCCTTTCCCATTCCCTTTGCAAGGGAAGTGAGTCCTAGTCTTGCATTTCTTCAAATGCTCTGCAAATGATGTCCAGTGACCGACTTAGGAGTTCTGGTCCTATTTTTATTTTTGTTTTTTTTATTATATATATATTTTAAATTTATTTATTGGACAGAGAGAGACACACTGAGAGAGGGAACACAAGCAGGGGGAGTGGGAGAGAGAGAAGCAGGCTTCCCGCAGAGCATGGAGCCGGATGTGGGGCTCGATCCCAGGACCCTGGGATCATGACCTGAGCCGAAGGCAGACGCTTAACAACTGAGCCACCCAGGCGCCCCTCTGGTCCTATTTTTAATTCTTTTGACTGAATTATTTTAAAAGCAAGTCCCTGACCCTTCCTATCCATATCTGGTTGAGGGCAGCATGCTGCAGAAAGCAAGTCTGACTGGCCCTTGCCAACCCAGGAGGGTGCCTCAGGGTCTCTCCCTCCCCATCTCCTTACCTTGGGGAGGTACTTTTCCTTCTGGGCCTCATTTCCATTGCGCACAATTTGGTTGAGGCAGAGGTTGGAGTGAGCACCGTAACTGAGCCCCACTGCTCCAGAAGCTCGGGATATCTCTTCCATCACCAGCACCTGTTCCAAGTAGCCCAGGCCGGAGCCACCATACTGAACTGGGAGTGGAGGCGGGGCAGCAGAGCGGAAAAGGCAGCCCAGATTACATTGGGACATTCACAGGAATGTTTACCGGCAGCACAGAAATACCCTTGTAGCTCCTACTCCAAGTTACCCCCTAGGAAGGTCGAGAGGCTGACGCCGTGGGCCCTGCTTTACCAGCTCACAGAACTGGCTTTGTCTGCTGCCTCTGGTCAGCTGAGGTGTGGTTCAGAAAACAGGCAATGCAAACACCTGCGTTATCCCGGACAGACCTCTTAAGGAAGATAAGAGAGCCTGAGCACCCAAATGTTCAGAAAGCCACAGAAGTGCACAGGCAGATGAATAAATGAAGGGCGACCTGGAGTTAACCAAGAAACACAAAGAGGAAGGGTCAGAGCACTAAGAATAGACACCAAGCAAAGGAAGGTGAGATTTTCATAGTACAGGTGTTTGGACCTAACAAAGCATGGCTATCAAATCAACATGTTATTTGATACGATGTTATATGTCAATTATGTCTTTAAAAAGTTAAAAAAAAAAAAAAAAGACTAGTAACGGGGGACAGGAGTGCCACAGATAGTGAATTTCAGAGCTCCTTACCAAAAAAATGTGGCTTTTCCTTGGCAACAGATCCAAAATCAAAGTGGCTGGATCATCTGGTACTACCACCTCCCACCCCCAGCCTTGCTCTTTGGCAAAACCCTGGTGAGACTCTGCACACGGGGGCATCTAGCTGGCTCAGTCGGCACAACATGCGACTCTTGATCTCGAGGTTAAGAGTTCGAGCCCCACGATGGGTAAAGAGATGATTTAAAAAAAAATAATAAAATCTTAAAACAAAATAAGGCTCTACACACGTTTACTCTGCCCAAGAAGTCAGGCTCATCTTAGGCTCTAGGGAAAGGTTAGCCCAACCCCTGCAACTCTAGGAAGGTAAGCCCACATGTGGGTGACACTGGAAACAGCCACCAGGACAACCAGGTGGAAACCAGAACTTACCAACCAGAACTGGCTTTCTTTGGGGGCTCATAAACCCCCAAGATGCAGTCTGGTTTGGGAGTTACCAATAGCGTTCCCCCTACCACTTTACATTAAGATGGTCTACATTTATAAGTCTTTCCATTTTATCATGACTCTGTAATCAGCTTAGATCCCAGAAACTGTCTCCCAAGTGGTGAGGGAAGACATAAGAACACCGTGTTCCACCTCTGTTCTAATACATGAATACAAGCTGAATCAATGTGGACTGTCCAGCCTTTGGCAGGTGAGGCCACAGGCTTATTTCTTTACTGGGCGCTGCAAGCCAGGCTGGGCCTCTCCTTCAGGGGCCAACATCCAAACCAAAGCCCACCAGCTCTGTGCCCTCTCCCCCTGGAAACGAGTAGTAAGACCCATAGAGGACAATGGGCAGGCCCAGGGTGAGCCTATTAAACACATCATCTGGCCACCTCACGTGGAGGCTCAGGCATCTCTCTTCCCCATACCACCCTCTGCTCTCAGATGAGCTCCAGGGCCAGCCGTGGGCAGAGGACATGGGCAGTCCCCACGGGAACATACCTGTCCTGAGTGGTCCTGCCTAGACGCTAATAGTAGGGCAGAACTTTGGGATTAGGGGAGATGGTAAGACTGAAGTGCAAGACAGCTGCATGATAACGGAGTTTTCTAAACTCCCCAAATCACCTGGGGGAGCTTATTAAACATGCAGAGTTCAAGAGTCTAAGTGATTCTCACCCAGTGAACCACACTGGCCTCATCCCTTTGCCTTCTGGATGTTACTGCTTAGTGTACTCTTCTCTGGGCTGATAGTCAGTGGGTGCTTTCTCGGGTCCAAGAGGAAGTCTTGGGTTTCTTTGAGCACGATCTTTCCCCTCCTTTCCTGTTTCTTTTGGAAACAGTGTTAAAGGGCATGCAAGAAAAGTTCGCATTAGGGAAGGAAACTATACTCACCAGGGGCGGTGATACCTAAGACCCCCAGGTTTCCCAGCTGCTTCCAAAACTCCTGCCAACAGAAAGCAGTGAGTGCAGTGAACTGTGAGAAGGCGGCCAGTCACAGGTGTCTGGCACTTCTGGCACAAGACCCAAATGCTTCACACAAAGAGGCTGCACTGTTAGGGAGGTTTTATTTACCAGGCAGCAGTACAATTCCCAACCCAGTCTAGCCCGGCCCCCAAACTGCCCCCTTGCCGCTCGCCCCCCCCACCCCCCCCATGGGCATCATGACTCACTCGAAGGTTCTTGAACTCATTGATATGATCAATCTCCTGGGCCTGGGGGGCTAGGTGCTCCTGAAGAAACTTAGCCATGGTCTGACGAAGCTAGAGGGAGAGAGGTGGACAGATGCCGCTGCAACAGTCCCTTACTGCCACTAAGAACAGCATCTCCACTACCGAGGACACCCCACCAAACGGCATTAGATTGAAACTTAAGAGGCCGTACCAGTTTATATACTTCCTCGGAGATGATCTTCCTCTCTTTTAAGGTCCTCAGCCTAGACAGCTTGAGTATTTTTAAAATGTCACTCCTGTACATAAAGTCATTCCATGGCTTTCATTGTACTTAGATCAGCTCCTTACTCAGGCCTATAAGGCCCTGTGTGAGCTGACTCCTACTGACTCTTCCAGCCTTCTCCAGTACCTTTCTCACTCCCACTCATTGTGCTCCAGCCATACCCTCTTCAGTTTCTGGCACATGCCAGGCTTTCTGATCTGAGACTGTGGTTACAAAGGATTACGCAAAGGATTAGAAACTCTTGGTGGACAAGTTTGAGAGCTAGGATTGAACCCTTTTTTTTTTTTTTTATTTATTTATTCATGAGAGACAGAGAGAGAGAAAGAGGCAGAGGGAGAAGCAGGCTCCCAAGGAGCAGGGAGCCCGATGCGGGACTCGATCCCAGGACCCTGGGATCATGACCTGAGCCGAAGGCAGACGCCTAACCATCTGAGCCACCCAGGCGCCCTGAACCCTTTCTGTAGGAGGTGATTCAAAGCTCTGTCTACTGACTGCAAACCCAAATGGGTTTTGGACTTCCTGGAGGCTGGGGCACTTGCTTAACAGCCAGGAGAATCAGGTTCCTGGGGAACTCTGTGCCAGCATCCAAGTGAACAGTCTCCTTCCAGAAAGGCTCTGGTTCAGCTTCACCTGTAATGCCCTTTCATGTTACCGTTCAACTTTGTACTTGGACGCAATGGGCTGAAGAATTTATAGCAGGTTACACAGTGCACTTCAAAGCCCCCGAGGTGTGTATTCGAAAGATTCTCTGGTGATGATGATTAAGCCATAGTCTTAAGACAGTGTTCGGGTGTAAGCGGACCTCAGACAGACCGAGGGTCTTTTTGCCACATGCCGGTGGCCCTGCCAATCCTCCACCAAAACACCATCAGCCTCCCAGGAGCCTTCCTGTCTCCGACGCCTTATTTAACTCGGCAGCTAGGCTTTGCTGTTTCCACAGAGGGGAGGCTGAGGCTCGCGCCCGCCCCCCGCGCTCCCACTGCCGCCGCTCGGTGGGCGCCGGGCAGAGGAGCGTCTGGGCGACCTCCGAGCGGGGCGACGCGGCCTGGCCAGCAGGCCTTGGGACCCGGAAGGGGATGAGGCTCCCTACCTGCTTCTGCTCCTCGCTTAGCCCGTTGATTGCATCGTCCACGGGCAAGAGGGAGTGGGCCCGCTGGGACACGAGGCTGGAGAGCCGCGCCCGCGGCCCCCGCAGCCTCCAACTCGCCGCGCGCCGTCCCAGAAGCCAAGCGGCTGTCGCCATCTCTGCCTAGCACGGGGAGCGGGAGCCGGAGGGGCAGCTGCAGCGCCAGCTCCAGCGGCGACGACCCGCCCCCTGTGCTCCACCAATCCCAGGCTTCGCTGCCCCCACCCAATCGATGAGGGGGTGGGTCTCCAGCAGCCTATCACCCTCCGCGGTCGGCTGAAGGCCACGCTGCCCTTGGTCACCACGCGAGCCAATCAGCGGTGACGGCTTGACTCCCCGGGCACCCCCGCGATAGGGGCGGTGGGGCTGGACTCGCTTTGCGGGAGTCAGTCCTACGTGGAGACTTTATTAAGTGGGAGAGCGAGAAAGGCGTCTTCGGAATCGAGGAATGGTATCTCCCCTGCGTTAAAGTAGCAGCCTCTGACTACAGAAGTCTATCTCTGCGGGAGAGGAAGTGTTAAAACAGTCTGGGGAAAAAGATGCCCAGTGCTTGGAAATAAATTGTTTTTTTGTTTTGTTTTTTTCTTTTAAAGATTTTATTTATTTGACAGAGACGAAGCGAGAGAAGGAACACAAGCAGGGGGAGTGGGAGAGGGAGAAGCAGGCTTCCCGCTGAGCAGGGAGCCCGATGCGGGGCTGGAGCCCAGGACGCTGGGATCACGACCCGAGCCGAAGGCAGACGCTTAACGACTGAGCCACCCAGGCGCCCCTGGAAATAAATTGTTAAAGCAAATCTGGGATATCTAAGATTGGGTAAGTGGCGCTGGCTCTGGTGTGCACACTGTTAGAAACCAGTAAAACTTGCTTTATCATGTAACAGGGTGTAGTGATTTTGGAGTTCTATGCGAAAGAGTTGCTGTCTTCCAAATTATTTAATGTACAAGAAGAACATCAGGACTTTTAAAAACAGGGTTGGGGGGTGGTGTGAAGATATAGAAAAGGGAAAGTAGTGTGTTACGAGTATTAAAAAGAAAGCCACCGACTGCCTTTGGCTCCTGTCATGATCCTGGAGTTGTGGGATCGAGTCCCACGTCGGGCTCCCTGCTCAGCAGGGAGTCTGCCTCTCTCTCTCTAACCCTCCCCCCTCTCATGCTATCTCATTCTCTCTCTCAAATAAATAAATAAAATTAAAGAAAGAAAGAAAGAAAGAAAGCAAGCCACCGAGCCATAGTGGAGCCACTTAAGGCTCGGAATCAGTAAACCAAGACTTAACTACCTAACTGTAGTTTTCACCGCCCCAGGAATGTAACCTCTAACCACTCGACATGGGAATTTCCTATCAGCACTGGGAAATTTATAGTACCCTCTTGTGTTCCCCTTAGGATAGACCTTACCTGAAACAATCCTTTGCCTATTTCCTTTTTCTATTCTTTTGCTACGTTTAAAAACCTTTCCTTTTCTGCACCTCGATGGAGCTCCTTTCTATTTGCTAGATGGGATGCTGCCAGAGTCATGAACTGTTTAATAAAGCCAATTAGATCTTTTAAAATGGACTCAGTTGAATTTTCTGTTTTTTAACCGGGAAAGAGGAGAGCCGATAAAATTAAGCCTCTATCTCCCTTCGCTATTTTCCTCTTCCTTCGCATTGGCCCACCATTTCATTTCAGGTGTTAAGTGCCCTGGGTCCGGGGATGAAGTGCTGCATGAAATGAAAATGAAAATGAAAATGGTACCACCAATATCACCCACAGCAAGGCTGTTAGGAGTGCTAAAAAGGAAGCCATAGGCCCAAGGTGGAGTCACTTGCCCCCAGGACAGCAAATCAAAACTTATTTGCAGTTTCAGTTTCTCCCAGAGTAGAATTTTAAACCAATCAATTTGGAATTTTCTGGTCAGCACCAATGAGGTAATCTGTCACATGGGTCCTCTCATTCCCCCCCACCCCCACCAAATAAGTAATCCATACCTTTCCCCCTGAAGAAAGATGACCTTGCCTGGAACAAACTTTTCTTTCGCTAGTGACTTCCTTGCCCCATCTTCCTTCCTACAAAAACCTTATATTTCCAGCAACTCCTTGCAGCTCCCCTCTACTTGCTAGGTGGGATGCTGCCTGATTCATGAATTGATTTAATAAAGCCAATTAGATCTTCAGGTTTACTCTGTTGAATTTTGTTTTTTAATGAGGAATAAAGGAGATAGCATACTTGGTGACAATGATTTCTGTTTCTTCTTAACAGCACCCCATTAGTCCAAGGTCTGAAACACAGCTAAGACAAAAGCCAGGCTTTGTGAGCTTGTCCAGACTGAAATGCTGTCACCCCACATATGATGAGTCTCCCCTAAGTGGAGAACAGGTTTCCCCTTCAAACCCCAAATAAAGGTTCTCCTTCTAGACCCCAAGCAGGGTCTTGGCCCCTACCTCACCCTGTTTTCGAGGGCCACAGCTCAACCAAAGGGGTAGAATGTCTCTCCCCAAGACTTCAGGCCACCAACACAGTGAGAGCCAAGATCCCAAACTCCAAGGAGGTAGTTAATAGTGTCCTCAGCTACTTTGAAAGTCAAAACAAAGACTGAAAACAGATTTGCCCACAGGCAAGTCATTGGTGACCTTAGTAAAAATTATTTTGGTAGAGTAATGAGAAAAAAGGCCAGATTAGCCATAGGTAAAATAAAATCATTTGAAAATATTTTGAATGGAAACATAATGCAAATATGACAAAGGAAAACCAGTGGGATGCAGCTATCTAGCCCTTAGAGATGTTAAAACGAAACAATAGATCCTGAATGGAGTCACTTTTTTTTTTTTTTAAAGATATTATTTATTTGACAGAGACACAGTGAGAGAGGGAACACAAGCAAGGGGAGAGGGAGAGGGAGAAGCAGGCTTCCCGCAGAGCAGCGAGCCCTTTGTGGGGCTTGATGTGGGGCTTGATGTGGGGCTTGATGTGGGGCTTGATCCCAGGACTCTGGGACAATGACCTGAGCCGAAGGCAGATGCTTAACGACTGAGCCACCCAGGTGCCCCCTAAATGGAGTCACTTTTGCTAAGCCCCTTAATAGAGGGAAATTTATAGTTTTAAGGCATATACTGGAAAAGAGAAAAACTAAAATGAAATTATTCCTATTTTAAGAAAGCAGAAAAAGAACAGTAAATTAAAATCCCAAATATAGAGGGAAATGAATATGAATAGAAATTATGAACTAGAGAAGTACAACAGAGAAAAATCAACATAAAATTGATAAGCCACTAACAAGACTGATCAAAAAAAAAAAGAAATTGCAAACTGCTCATACCAAGAATGAAAAAGAAGTCAGCCTTCAGGTCCTATAGATAGAAAAAAGACGAGGGTATTTTGAGCAATTTATGCCAATACATTTTACACTGATGAGATGGGCAAATCCATTTATATAAAGTTCAAGAAAAGACAATACCCATAGATGGTGATTTTCTGTCAGAATGGAGGGGGGCAGTAATTTACTGACATGTACATTTAAGGTTAGTATACTTCGTGACGCCTCAATACATTTTCTTCAAAAAGTAAAATATACATAACAATTTGCCATTTTAACCATATTTAAGCGTACAACTCGGTGGCTTAAGTATATGCACAGTGCTGTGGCATTATCATCGCCACTATCCATTTTCAGAATTTTGTCATCATGCCAAACAAACTGTGTACCCATCAAACCGTAATTCCCCTGCCCTTGCCCCTCCCAGCCCCTGGTAACCTCTATTCTACATTCTGTCTCTGTGAAGGAGAGTACCTCAGGTACTCAGGTACTTAGGTACTCAGGTCCTTTAGGTATCTCATATGACTGTTTTTGTCTTTAAGCCAGATTGAAAGCGGAAGAGGACAGACAGTGCAAACTCAGAAATTTGACTGTGGGAGCGCCTGGCTGGCTCAGTCAGTGGAGCATGTGACCTTGATCTGGGCAGTGTGAGTTTGAGCCCCACGCTGGGTGTAGAGATTACTTAAAAATAAAATCTTAAAAAACAATGACAACAACAAAAGAGGGGCGCCTGGGTGGCTCAGTTGGTTAAGCATCTGACTCTTGATTTTCACTCAGGTCATGATCTCAGGGTCGTGGGATTGTGTCCTGCCTTGGGCTCTGAGGGGAGGGGAGTCTGCTGGAGATTCTCACTCTCCCTCTGCCCCCCAGCCCCCCTCAAATAAATCTTTAAAAAAGTCATCTTTTGAGCTTTTATAAGACATAAAAAAGGGTAACACCATAAAAACTGTTCATTCTTGGGGCGCCTGGGTGGCTCAGCCAGTTAAGCGACTGCCTTCAGATCAGGTCGTGATCCTGGGGTCCTGGTATGGAACCCCAAGTTGGCTCCCTGCTCAATGGGGAGTCTGTTTCTCCCTCTTGCTCTGACCGTCCCCCCCTCCCCTGCCCGTGCTCTCATGCTCTCTCTCTCTAATGAATAAATAAAAAATCTTTAGGGCGCCTGGGTGGCTCAGGGGTTAAGCGACTGCCTTCGGCGCAGGCCATGATCCCGGAGTCCTGGGATCGAGCCCCACATTGGGCTCCTGGCTCAGTGGGGAGCCTGCTTCTCCCTCTGACCCTCTCCCCTCTCATGCTGTTTCTCTCTCTCTCGCTCTCTAATAAAAAAAATCGTTAAAAAACAAACAAACCTGTTCATTTTCCGGAGCACTTTCTTCCTTGTGAAGAGCATGTTTCCCCAGACAGCTGTCCTAACTTGGGCCCTAATAAAACTCCTTACTTTTTTTAGCGGAGACGGTGTGGGGTGGTGGAGGCACAGATGGGGAAGGAGAGGGACAAGCAGATTACGCTGAGCACGCAGCCCAAGGCAAAACTTGATCCCACAACCCTGAGATCATGACCTTAGCTGGCAGCTTAATCTGCTGAGCCACCCAGGCGCCCCTCCTTTTAGCGATTCTAAAAAGATTGTTCATTTTGTGTGGACAATTTCACTAGCGAATAATTGTAGTTATTTAAAAATGAAATAAAAATATTTTTTCAAATACCTACTAAGTTGTTGGATCTGATCACTTAAAATAGAACCATTGATACTTCTTTGGGTGTCATAAATATTACTAGGACATTAACTAGGGGCATCATGAACTGAGAGTTTGGAAACCTCTGGCCTAGATGATAAAAATCCACACTTCTTAGCCTGGCATTCAAGGATCAAGACTTTTTTTTTTTTTTAAAGATTTTATTTATTTATTTGACAGAGAGAGAGACAGCTAGAGAGGGAACACAAGCAGGGGGAGTGGGAGAGGGAGAAGCAGGCTTCCCGCTGAGCAGGGAGCCCGATGCGGGGCTCGATCCCAGGACCCCGGGATCATGACCTGAGCCGAAGGCAGACGCTTAATGACTGAGCCACCCAGGCGCCCCAAAGGATCAAGACTTCTAACACCAAGTACCTCCTGCCCCATTCTTCCCTGGCTCAAATCTTTCTCCAATATTTGCTTGTTGTTTGATCTTGGGTAAATCAACCTAACTAACATCTCTGAGCGTTATTTCCACAGCTGTAAAAAGAGGTAATAGTGCTTACCTTGAGATGGTAATGAGGATTACCTGAGAAGTGCAGCAAGGAGTTATGTGTATCTGGCAGAGTACAAGTGCTCAATTAAGTGTCAGACATAATCCCCTCACCTTGAATCTCTGAACAAGCCCAGTTCCCCAACTCACTTCCCCAAGACTCATCTCAGCTCTCTATTCTTTCCTTCAGCATTTCATGATTTTATTTTCTCCCTGGAGCTTCCAGTAGCACCCCCGCCTTCTTGGGTTTATCATTTGCTAGAGCAGTTCACAGACTCAGAGAAACCTTTTATTTATTAGGTGATCAGTTTACCGCACAGGCTGTAACTCGGGAAGAGCCCGGCGGAAGAGATGCAGAGGGCAAGGTGTGGGGAAAGGAAGTGGGGCTACCGTGACCTGAGCTTGCTCCTCTCCCCAAACCTCCACATGCTCACCGACCTGCAAGGTCCTCCACTTTCCAGCTAGCCTCTCCAACTGTTACTCTTCCTTCAGTCTCCAGTCTACGTCCTTCATCAAGCCCTCCGCAACCAAAGTAGCCCATAGTGAACTACTAGAGCACACAGCTATGCCGCACAGCTCACAGTTAGTAAGGTGTTGCTGTTGGCGATTTCACTTATATGTCACCTGCACGTGTAAGTTTTACTGAAGAGATTGCAAGCATCTTTGAGGTTAAGAATGCCATGCTACATTAAAGTTTCCTAGAGCATCTGGCGAAGTGGAGGGCACAGGTCACTATTTGCTGAGTTTCTCTAACATGGGTTCGTCCAGCCTCCAGAACAGATGAAGCGCCCACAACACCTCCACACGTACAAAAGGCAGATGGAGCAACAGAGGTCGGAGGAATCAAGAGAAAAGGCAGAGGGGCACCAGTGCCGGCTGGTGCTACAGAGAACCGTGAGGGGAAGGCCCCTCGGGAGCCCAGGCCACCAGCCACCAGGGTTTCGGCACTGGGCGAGAGGAGTCACAGGCATTGAGAGTTACATTCCCAGGTGTTAACTAGGGAGGCCTGACTAGGAGGTGAGGATCCCACAGCTGAGTTCTCCCCCTCTCCTGCCAAGAAGGAAGGAGAACTTTTTTTTGGGGGGGGGGCAGAAATGCCAATTACAAATTCATTTGGGTAAATAATCTTTTAAAGTATAAACATGCTGAAAATGGGTAGAAGAAAATATTCAGCTCTTCTCACGGGTGAGAGTTATGTAACTGGGTTTACCCCCTCCTAATTTTTGGGACATAACCAACTGTGTGAATATCTGTGTGGAAGGCAAAGAAACAGCCCTGAAAGTTAGGGTGGGGGTGTTCCTTGGCCTGACTGGGTGGTATCAAGAGGGGAGGGGGGAGGTTGGTGAAGAAATTGGGAGATGCAGAAAAACATGGAAGAGAGCCAGAGCCAAAGCCTGCCTAGATCAACTAAGAAATGAAATAGAGCTGTGCCTTTGGTAAACCCGGGGGGAAGCCTACCACGGACCTCGGCTACCTAGGGAGCCACGGGGCCAGGCCTAGGATTGGCTGTGCAAAGAGCAGTAGATAAGCAGGCTCAGGAATATAGGCAGGGCACAGGCAGCTAGTGACACACAGCTGGGGGATGGAGTCAGGCACCCACCGCCACAAACAGGGGACACCCTCAGAAGACCAGCTACCGCTCCTGGAACACAGCAGGGCTGGTCACAGAGCACTGACGTGGAAGACAAATATTCTGGGTTACATTGGAGTCTTGAACTTGTTCACTGGATTAGGTCAAGAGTATTCGGTGGACATACTTCAGTTAAAAGGTTTCTTTTCATTTCTCAGTGTTATAGCCTGGATAGTCACAGAAATATTTATTTTAAAAGTAGCACTTAGTAAAAAATAAAAGAAGTGATTTAGACTAAAAGCTCCAAGGTGTATTATTTCAGGTAGGTGTTATTGCTATCTATACCCTCACCCCATTTATTAAGCCATTTCAATAACTTCACGTTCATTAACTTACAATGAGGTCTAGAGCCCAACCAGGATGAGACAGAATGTGTTCCAAGTTAGAAGGGGATAGGATCACTTCCCACTGATGTCTCCCATGGAACCTCTGCACTCCAACTGCACAATTAAGGTTTTCTTCCTACACATCTGAATGTGACCTTTGGGATCCTCTGGCTGTGGCTGGTTTGGTCTCCTGATTCTAATGGCCTGCTGCTTTGTTGCCTAGCAGGTCGATCCAAGCTTTCGCACCTCCCCCCCTTGTCGGCCTCGATTATGTGTGTGTGAGGTTCGGGGGAACCCACCAGTCTGAGGGTGGCGTTCGCTTGCCTGAAGGAGGAAGCGCCATTCTAGCATAGACTGTCCTTAATCCTACTGCAGCAAATGTCTCCATTCTGGGGATGGTGAGTCCTAGAAGGTCATGGCCAAGAAGCAGATGTCCTGAGTGGCTTCCCCTGTGGGAGCCATCTGGTCACTTGCTTTTTATCACATTTCTAATAGCTGCTCCATTTCCTCCAGGGCTGCTGTAAAATCATTTACTTGACTGTTACATAAAGTCTGCTGTTCTAGGAACCGGGCCCTCTCTTCTTCTTTCATCTTCAACTTGACTTTTAAGGCCTGCGTGGAAAGACATTCAAAAAGAAAGAAACGAACACGTACAATGTGATTCACATGTAACGCAATACCATCTCAGGACATTATGCTTCTCTTCCCTTGAGGAAGACCACTGGAATACTGACACGTGATTTTTTATCTTAGATCCGTGTATCTGTGCTGGTTTTAGGAATGGTCTCTCTCTACTACAGACTCTTATCTCTAAACTGGAGCCTTGAAATCCTCTAGGATTCAGTGTACTGTCCCCTGATTCTTCCAAGCAATCCGAAGCAGTCCAGACTCAAGAATCCGGGTTTCTTATTACAGTTTCCTTGAGATATCAAGTTTCCAAAGCATAGCTGTCACACCTCTTACATTGAGCAACCTAGTGTTTTGCGCATTGCCTCAAGCCCTGTAGATGTGAACACTTCTGAGTCTTTGGAATAGAACATCAGTTGAAAAAAAATGGTGAAATCAAGTGGTCTTGCAATTTAGTGAACAGTAATGCATCAATGTTGGTTTTTTAATTTTGACAAATATACTATGATAATCTATGATGTTCATATTAAGGGCACTAAATTCCCTGTATTTATCTTTGCAACTTTCCTATAAATCTATTATTACAAAGCAGTTTATTAAAAAGAAATAAATTGATAAATAAGAAAGAGTCCTCCAGAGCCCCACCCACTGTGGCAGGAAATGGTAATCCTGCTGCATGGTGCCTGCCTCTCACCTGTAATTCCTCCATCTGCTTTTTGGCCGTTTCGTTAAAGAACTTCAGCTCATCTTGCAAAGTTTCTAACAGCAACTAAGAGGAAAGTACAATGTAGTAACAAATCTTTACTAATATGTGAAAACTTTCTTCATATAAACTAATCTCTTCATATAAAATGAAAGTTGATTAGTTGATTGCTAACAACCCTTCCGTTCATTCAGGCATTTACTGAGCATCCCCCATGGGCCAGGCCCTCTCCTGGGCACCCCTGGAGGAACATAGTCCACAGGATGGACAGATCACCCCACTTCCATGTGCTCTACGTTACACTGGCAATGTGGACAAAACAGAGAAGCCATCAAAGAGGTGACTACTAGCCTGGGGGTGGAGGAAGGCTTCCACAGCTAGCATTCTAGGATTCAAAGATGACAACTGATCTTTCCGGGGAAGAGGGTATAGAAGCTCAAAGACTTAATCCCAAACAACTACCTTCCTACTTTGGGGAGGGAACCAAAGAGAAGCCAAATTTAATTCAGGCTGGACCTTTCTTTCATACAGTTCTCGGTAAACAGACAAGGGGAGAAATATGGTCAAGCGGAGAATAGAGAAACCAGAAAGTTCTCTATACAGGTCCATTGTAACATGTGCCTTAAAGTAGCATATTTTCAACTCCGACTCACTCACATCTGTAAGCACAAAGTTGCCTTCCAAGTAAAATATGCTAATTTGAGTACACATCCACTGTTCTCTTCCACTACCATGGAAAACAAAGGCGGCTTCCTGGGGTTTGCTGAGCACTTGGCCCTCACCCACTCACACCCATGCCCTCACCATAGAGTCCGTGTGATCTGCGGCGGATTCCCGCTGTGATGCCAGGGTCTCACTGCCTAAAACTGACACAAATGACAAAGTCAGCCTTGCTTAGGGAACTGCACCTAAAACAAAAACTAAAAACCCCTCCACAGACAGGAATATTCATGAGGGAAACTTCTCGAAGAGCCTGGTCCCTGAGTTTCTCCTGAGTTTTCACCTTGGCAGGGCCACCCACACCTAGCCTCAGAGCTTTATTTTACCTCCCTCCTCTCTAGCTTTAGATATGGTTAAAAGTTCATTCTGCTTTCTCTTCAGCTTAGCAGAAAATTTGTCCAAAGGAAATGTATCGGTTGGATTTTTTTGTTTTGTTTATAATACAAAAAGTTATTTTTATTTGAAAAAAAATTTTTTAAAGATTGTTTATTTTATTTTATTTTTTTAAGATTTTATTTCTTTATTTGACAGAGAGACACAGCAAGAGAGGGAACATAAGCAGGGGGAATGGGAGAGGGAGAAGCAGGCTTCCTGTGGAGCAGGGAGCCCAATGTGGGGCTCGATCCCAGCACCCTGGGATCATAACCTGAGCCGAAGGCAGACGCTTAACGACTGAGCCACCCAGGCGCCCAAGATTTGTTTATTTTAGAGAGGAGAGAGAGCACGCGTGAGTGTGGAGTGAGGTGAGGGGCAGGGGGAGAGGGAGAGAGAGAGAATCTCAAGCCAACTCCCCACTGAGTGCAGAGCCTGACAGAGGGCTGGATCCCATGACCGTGAGATCATGACCTGAGCCAAAATCAAGAGTCTGATGCTTAACTGACTGAACCACCCAGGTGCCCCACAAAAAACTATTTTTTAAAGCTTTTTGGGCTTAAAAGTTATTATTTTTGGTAAAAGTAGTACATGTGCATTATAAATTAAAATCATACAAAAACATATATGGTGACTATAAAGAATATATCCTAAAATGCACAGGTTAATCAGCAGCATTCAGAGTCAGTGTTCCTGAATTCAAAGAAGCCTGGGCCCCTTCACTGGGTATTCTCAGGCTCCTCAACTCAGTCTGAAGCTCTTATACAGTCTTTGGGCAATACCTTCTTCTACTCCCCTCCTTGCTACAGACTCTGCTCTCTAGGGACAGGGTCAGAACAGAAATCACATTTAACCATTGAGATTCTGCTGATGAGCCGGGTTTAGGAGCCCTTGAAACAGTATCACCTCGGTCTTTTCCCACCTGGGAAAGTTACTGTGTTTGTTATCTGCCTTAAAAGAAATAAAATACTTCTGGTCTATTTGCAAGGTCATAATTGTTGGTACCAAATGAATGGCATAAAAGTGTTCAGATAGGAGATAATCCTCTCTCCACAACCATCTGAAATTCTGTTGGTTAAAGTCAACACCACAAGGGAACACAGAAAAGCTCCTCCAGGGCACCTGGCTGGCTCAGTCTGTAGAGCATGTGACTCTTGATCTCGGGGTTGTGAGTTCGAGCCCCATGTTGGGTGTAGAGATTACTTAAAAATAAAAAAATCTTGAAAAAGAAAGGAAGGAAGGAAGGGAGGGAGGGAGAGAGAGAGAGAGAGAAAGAAAGAAAGAAAGAAAGAAAGAAAGAAAGAAAGAAAGGATCCGCCCAAACTTTATTGCTTTGCTAAGCAACCCCACACTGAATGGGCTGGCTGATGCTATGCTGGACTCTTGACACACAGTCCACAATTCCCCCCACGAAGGGGCATGTGCACTGACTCCTCCGAAGGCAACCATGTACTGTCTCTTACCTGGGTTGAGGCCCTTGCTCTCCAAAACTGCCAAGCAGTTGTCTTGGAACTTCTCCAGCAGCTCCACCTTTTGGGTCAGGTCCTTCAGTTCTCCCTATGGAGGTGCCATGACACAGATCAGGCCCGTTCCCCTGTGTGTATGTGGCGGGGGCGGGGGGTCTCTCTCGTCCCTGCTCTAATGGTACCACAAGCATAAGCCTGACGTCTTCTCTTCCTCGCCTCAGGCCCCTGGGCATCACAAGCTTCTCCTCCCCCAGGGACCATCCCTTAGGAGTCCACACATTGCCTAGTGCAGTGACGACAGAGGTCTGGTGGGTCTCCTACCTGAGTTTCAGTCAACTTCTGGTGCAGCTGCTTGTTGATGGCCTCTAAGAGCTGGTTCTTATCCTTGAGCTCTTCCTCTGATTTCTGCTTACTCAGCGGTTTGTAACTGTAATGATAATTGGTGCTCAGCTGAAGAGGTGGAGGTGTTAAGAAAATGGGCTATAGAGTCATATGAGCAGGGGTTCAAATCTTGGGGTCATTACATAGTGGTATATGATGCTCAGTAAGTTACATAACCTCTTTGGGGCTTTGTTTCCTCATTTCTAGAATTAGGATAATACCCACATCTCATAATATAATTATTGTGAAAAATAAAGGGAGAGAATACATGTAGAATTCTTGGCACAGCTACTGACACATAGTAAATACTTAATAATAGCCATTATCATCACTTCTTTTCAGTGGCCTCAGAGTCCTTCTTGAATAGTATTTTATCTTCAGAACTTTTTTTTTTAAGATTTTATTTATTTATTTGACAGAGAGAGAGACAGCGAGAGAGGGAACACAAGCAGGGGGAGTGGGAGAGGGAGGAGCAGGCTTCCTGCAGAGCAGGGAGCCCGATGCGGGGCTCGATCCCAGGACCCTGGGATCGTGACCTGAGCCAAAGGCAGATGCTTAATGACTGAGCCACCCAGGTGCCCCAGAACTTTTTTTTTTTAATTTTTATTTTTTAAGTCATCTCTACACCCAAAGTGGGTCTCGAACTTGCAGCCCCGAGATTAAGAGCTGCATGCTTGGGGCGTCTGGGTGGCTCACTCAGTTAAGTGTCTGACTCCTGATTTCCGCTCAGAGTCATGAGATCAAGCCCCACGTTGGGGTTCCACACTCAGTGGGCAATCTGCTTGAGTCTCTCTCCCTCTCCTTGTGCCCCTCCCCAGCTTGCACACACTCTCTCTAAAATAAATAAATAAATTAAAAAAAAAAAAAGAGTTGCATGCTCTACCAACTGGGCCAGCCAGGGCCCCTATCTTCAGAACTTCTAACACATGCCCAAATAATAGACTTGGAATTAGGACCTATTTCTATAAACTTTCCAGTTTGTATTATTTCTGTCTTCAGAAGCAAAACATCCAAGCCAGCCTCAAACAGAGAGATGGATCCTTCCCCAGGATTTCTACCACCACCATCTCGAAGTCATTAACCACACACAGTGCCTCCTATCCTGAAGGCTCACCCTCCTATCGATGGGCTATAGCTGGGTTTGATTTCCAATCAGCAGTGGGCCTGGCATGGAGCCCAGAAAGCTCTTGTCTGGTTCTCAAGATGGGAGCATCGCAGATCCTTGCCCTGCCAGTGGTTCTCAAACCAGGCTGTGCCTCACCCCTGGAAATTCCACTCAGATTTCTGGGGTGGCACCCAGGCTGTCAGACACTAAACAAACCCACGAGTGATTCTGAGGCACAACCAGGACTGAGATCCACCACCTTAAAATGGTGGCCAACTTTCGCTTACCCTGATGCTCACCTCTTTCTGATGTTCTTCCTCATGCCAGTATCTGCAGCTTTTACCTGCCTAGAGAAGCAAAAACAAAGAAATCAGGATGTTCGCTCGTCTTATTGTGGTGATCATTTTGCACTATATACACATAGCTAAGCATTATGTTGTACACCTGAAACTAATATAACATTGTGTGTTAATAGACCTCAGTTAAAAACACAACAACAAAGAAATCAGAGACCGGTAGCATTGCTGTTCTGTGTGTTGTGAACAAGGCAGAACAAAGAGCCTAGTTTTCTGGGGCGCCTGGGTGGCTCAGTCGTTAAGCGTCTGCCTTCAGCTCAGGTCATGATCCCGGAGTCCCGAGATCGAGCCCCGCATTGGGCTCCCTGCTCGGTGGGAGGCCCGCTTCTCCCTCTCCCACTCCCCCTGCTTGGGTTCCCTCTCTTGCTGTGTCTCTCTCTGTCAAATAAATAAATAAAATCTTAAAAATATATATGTGTATTTAAAAAAAAAAAAGAGCCTGGTTTTCTGAGGAAAAAACCAGAGACTACATACAATGCAAACAGCTTCAGAAGCTCTGAGGGCCCGTGCACTTTTGTTTCAGCCTAGACTATTGGAAAAGGCTTATGAATAGGGAATGGGCTCCTCTCCTGACCCACCTCAATATTCCGACAGACCTGCGGCTGCTCAAAACGGTGTGGCTACCTCATGTCAAGCTGGCTTCTGTGGGAACTGAGCACAGGGAAACACACACACACACCACCCTGGGCGGGACTATGCTCAGACCAGCACCTCTAACAATCAGCCCCACCCACTCTGACCACCACCTGGGGCGGTGTTTGGCCCTGGTACTGCTGTTTGCACACTCGGAGCAAGTGGTGAGAGAACAAAGTACCTCTTAACCTAACCCTTGCTGGGTCTCTTCAGAACTGCTCAACACAGAATCTTGATCCTGAGCAATTTCTAGCAAGATGTTCTCATCGGCGTATTGCATGGAGTACTGGGTGTTATACGCAAACAATCGTGGAACACTACATCAAAAACTAATGATGTAATGTATGGTGATTAACATAATAAAATAAAAATAAAAAAAAAAGATGTTCTCAGCGGATACCAATGATCGGACTCTCACCTATTCTCTCGTCTCGGTTTGGTGATTTTTGTAACATCATTCTCTGAACCTCCTGAATGAAGTCTGGAAACATCCACTTCTTTGGACTTAACGGGTAATAGGCTCTTAGAAGTGGCTCGAGTTTGTGTGTCTGCAAAGGAAGACAAGCGGGTGAAACCTCAAGCATTGTGACCCAACAGCTGCAACTCTGTAACAGCTCTGTTCCAGGTTGTCAGAGCCCTGTATTTTCTTTTTTTTTTTAATATTTTATTTATTTATTTATTTGACAGAGAGAGACAGTGAGAGAGGGAATACAAGAACGTCTGTATTTTCATTCTGGACCATCTCAATTTGCAAAGATTAATTCAGAAGAATCCGACTTCTAGACTAATTGGGGATGGAAACCAAAATCCTTTGAAGGTGACAGTGCAATGTATTTGAGGGTCACCAAAAGCCTGATGATAGGGCAAACTGAACGGCCAGAGGGTACGGGTGTGAAAGTGGATGTTGATACAAGCGAAGAGCAAAATGACAGGTAGTGTGGTGGTCCGCAGGGCAGCCCACAGTTGGAGCCTTCCTCCAGGACCAGTGGAAGCCGACCACCTTGCGAAGCTCCTCTGCCCTCTGCCGGTTCTCCCAAGGCTACGCTCAAACTGCTGCGAGGTTCTCTTTCAACCGTTGCATAGTTGTTGTTATCTCTTTATTCATTTTTATTTATTTTTTTAAAGTAGGCTCCATGCCCTACGTGGGGCTTGAACTCACAACCCGGAGCTCAAGAGTCACATGCTTTACCAAGTGAGCCAGCCAGGTGCCCCAGGTCTCTGTCTGAAGTAAAAAGTAACCTTAGGGGAACATATTTACCTCCTCTTTCAAGTATTAGTAAGTTATACACAGTAACACATCTACCCCCAGGTGAAAAGGTGTTAATAAATTTTGATCACAAAATTAACACTCTTCATTGACTGGAATCAGTTCTTAATCTGTACCTGCTAGAGCCTAAGGACTGCATTGTAGGAAAAATTTAGCAGCACTTAACAAAGACTGTCTTCTTGAAATGAGAGACACAAGGCACCTGGGTGGCTTAGTCAGTTAAGCCCCGAGACAGGCTCTCTGCTCAGCAGGGGGTGTGCTTCTTCCCCCCTCCCCAAATAAATAAATAAAATCTTAAAAAAAAAATGAGATTTGCTAAGGAGGGGAATTGGATGGCTGGTCAAGGAAGGGAAAGAGACTTGTTCTTCACTGCATAATGTTTTCTAACTCTGGATTCTTTTTTACATGTATATGTTATGTAGGCAAAAAACCTAGAGATAGCCTTAAAATGTTAAACTATTGAGGTTATATATGATCATAAAGCTGGGACAGGAATAGAATGCTGAGATAAAAACTTCCAACTTGGCTGGGGAGAGCCAGTCACTCTCCACCCAAGGAGAGGGCACTGCTCTCCAAGGCCAAGGCAGTGCAAGGGGCGTGCACCCCCCCCAGCCCCAACTCCTAGGTCCTGCTGATGCCAGATTACCATTTAGGTGTTTTGAGGCCAGGTAAGACAAACAAAAAACCCCTTTAAGCCTTTGGAGAAAAGCCTGTTTACTTCACAGATCAATCCAGCTACTGCTCATCAACCAGCTGCACAGCGTCCCCTGGGAAGGAGTCTTAGATAGCTACTTCAAAATCTCCCACCACAGGTTCTGATTTTTGAAGCTTATTTTGTGCCCTGCTCTAGAAATTAGGCAACTTGACAACTGCAGAGCGTAGATGACTTTCAACCACAAGCCCAGTAACACGAAGCAAGATGGCAAAGCAATCAAAAATTGCTTTTAATCCTATTTCTTCTCCCAAGGTTATGGGAAACTCTGCCTGGGCCTGACCCCTCTCTCTCACTTCACCCAACAATTTATTGAGAACTCACTATATAAGAGAAACAGTGCAGAAACAAATGTGAATTAGACATAGTGTGAACTCTAGTGCCTCCCTCTAAGAATCACACTTCTCAAATGACTCTCCTCCCTTCTCCCTGACAACAAACCCAGTCCCTCCAGATATCCCAGATCTGGAAATCAAACTGGCAATTGTTTAAAAAGGGATTCCTGGGGCGCCTGGGTGGCTCAGTCTGTTAAGTGTCTGCCTTCAGCTCAGGTCATGATGATCCCAGGGTCCTGGGATACAGTCCCACATCGGGCTCCCTGCTCAATGGAGAGCCTGCTTCTCCCTCTCCCTCTGCACCTCCCTCTGCTTGTGCTCTCTCTCTCTTTCTCCCTGTCAAATAAGTAAATAAATAAAATCTAAAAGAAAGGGGGGGGGGATTCCTAGCTTAAGGAAATAATACTGTGAAACAATAAGCAACTTAAATCTAATTAGTGAATGCAGCATGATTAGGTTTGGGAAGAGGAATGGGGGAGGGCAGGTCTAAAATCCTACCACAGGGCCCTTGCCCCAACTCCCATCATAAACCTAGACAGCCCAGTTCTAGGGGAGGTAGCAGGTTGTCAGAGCCGATGAATTGCCCTTCCCCTGCCCGCGCCCCCCTTTCCTGGCCACTGATCTGTGCCCTCTTACTCCTCGGTCTGACCAGCCCCGCCGGTCCGTAGGGCTGTGTGGATACCTACCTGCCGGCAGGCCGCCGCTCTGCACAGCGGGGGGTTGCAGAGTGTATACTGTCTTAACCACGCTGGTCATCGTAACGAGGCGGCACGGCTGGGCCCTGGAAGGTGCAAGGTGAACGTTACTGTGACGGGTCTGGGGGCCCGTGTAGGTGGAGGGTCCCCGGAGAGCGCGACCTGGCCTGTCCCGGCCCGGGGAAGAAGTCTGGAGAAAGAAAATTCTCCATTCCCAGCCCATCCCGCGCGCCCCCGACATCCAGCCCCGTCCCTCGCCCCGGGAGAGTCGAACCCAGGTTCCTGCAGCTCCTGCCCGCAGCCCTCGTTGCCCTGGTTCAAAGGAGGCTCCTCGGCAACTGCCGCACCAGCGACCGGGTATGCCGCCCGGCTTTCAAATGGAAACTTCCGGTGATTGGACGGGAGGGGGAGCGGTTCGCGCTCTGTAGGCGGCCATGTTGTACGGATAGCAGGGCTGTGGGCCACGCCTTTAGGGGCTGCCATGCTGTACGGCAGGTCAGAGCTGAGCCCAGTGCCTGAGCTTCTAGGCTTTGGGTGTCAGAGGCCCCAGGTATGGGCGGGGGAGGGGAGTGGTGCACTTTCCCTGCCTGAAAGGAGCTATGAGCCGCCAGCGTCGTATTCCGGGCTTGAGACACAAACGCGGTCATCGTTAGAGTCTGTCACAATCTTCTTTATTTGGTCCGTGATTGTTAGGGATTTTGCATGATGCCTGATTGGCAAGAGCATAAAAGTATTTGGATGGGTAGGGTGGAGAGTAGCAGGTGAGGTTTAAAAAGGATCTGTGGGCGGAAATACGGCCTCACCTAGGACAAACGAGGGGCTTGGACTCACAACGGAGAGATCAGGAGTCCCATCCTCTACCAACTGAACCAGCCAGGTGCCCCCACGCTTACCCAGATTTTAAGCAGAGATTCAGAGTTACTCCTAGAGAACAGGGCAGGGTTCTCAAGCACTTAAGGCACTCATTCATTTTACTTAATAAATATTTATTGAGCACCTGCTGTGTGCCAGACCATTCTTCTAAGAGGACAGATGGGGGCGGAGCAACAAACAAAGTCTGAACTGACTTTGGCTCTGCCTTCCTGGAGTTTACAATCTAGAAAATGGAAACAAAAAAATCACACAAACTTATTAGTTACATCTCAGTTAAGTGGGAAAAAAACTCAAATAAATATATATTTGCCAACTGTAGTAAAACTACGAAGGAAAAGCACAATGTGCTATGAGAAGAAAATTGGGGAAACAGTTGAAATTGGATAGTGAGGGAAGACATCTAAGGTGATGTTTGATTAATGAAAGATGAATGGGAGTTCGGGGAGCCTGGGTGGCTCAGTCAGTTAAGTGTCTGCCTTCGGCTAAGGTCATGATCCCAGGGTCCTGGGATGGAGCCCCACGTGGGGCTCCCTGCTCAGTGGGAAGTCTGCTTCCATTTCCCTCTGCCCCTCCCCCCTGCTTGTGCCCTCTCTCGCTCTCTCTCAAATAAATAAAATCCTTAAAAAAAAAAAAAAGGTGAGTGGGAGTTTTTCAGATGAACAATGGGGGAGAGAGGAAAAATGCAAAGTCCCAAAGCTGGTATGACTAGCTGGGAATGAAAGATGGGAGGAGAGATGGGAGGAAAGTGATACAGATAAAGCTGCAGAAGTAAGTCACATGGCAAGTTTTGCAGACCAGAGGTAAAGAGATTAAGATTTTTTCTTAAGAGTAATGGGAAGTCATTGAAATACTAGAGCAGGAGAGTGTTATTCAATTTATATTTTAAAAAGCTCATTCTGACTACTTCATGAAGGATGGAAGGGGGGTAAGGGCAAAACTAGGGTGGTAGTTGGGAGGCTACTGTAATGATTCACATGAGAGATGTTGGCTTGGCCATGAGGGTGCTGGTAGTACTGAGAGTGTAGAGGCCGCTTTTAAGCAAACAGGCTAGAGTGATGGAATGCAGAAATAGCCTACAGCAACCACCTGGCTGAATACAGATGGACCCAGCAGGTGACCCACCTCAAAATCTCCATAGATCCTAACTGACCAATGGGCTACTACAACTAGGCGCAGTTACCGAAAAAGGGAAGATTCCATATGTCAACATACCTCTTCACCTTCCCTCTTTAAAAACAGCCCCCACCCACTGTCTCGTGGCGGACAGGGTTGGACTGGATGTGGGAGGAGGGCAATGGGAGAAGGAAAATTTTTTTTAAAAGATTAAGATTTTTAAAAAAATTTATTTACTGGACAGAGAGAGAGAGAGAGAGCACAAGCGAGGACAAGCAGGGTGAGTGGCAGGGTGGGGATGGGAAGAGGCAGAGGGAGAAGCAGGCTCCCTGCTGAGCAGAGAGCCCAATGTAGGGCTCCATCCCAGGACCCTGGGATCATGACCTGAGCTGAAGGCAGATGCTTAACGGACTGAGCCACCCAGGTGCCCCTAAAAGATTATTTATTTTAGAGAGAGCACAAATGACAGGAGGGGCAGAGGGAGAGAATCTCCAAGCAGACTCCCCACTCAGCATGGAGCCCAAAGCCAAAGTGGGGCTCAATCCCACAACCCCTGAGATCATGACTCCAGCTGAAACCCAGAGTTGAATGCTGAGCCACCCAGGCGCCCCGAGAAGGAACTCTTAAGGAGAATTCCCAGGCTTGAGTAACTGTGTGGATAGAGTCACTATTTTATGTTGCTGGGAGATTCAGAGCTTAGTTTGGAACATGTTAAACTTGAAATGCCTCTCAGACATTCAAGTGGAGCCGTCAAGTAGACAGTTTGAAATACGGGCTTTGAGCCCAGAGGAGAGTCTGGGTTGGAGATCTACTCTTGAGAGTCGGTGTATGGATGTACTTAAAAAAAAAAAAAAAAAAAAGCTGAGATACTGGATGAGATCAGCAAGGGAAGAAGTGTACAGAGTGTACAGAGAGCCACGGATAGGGATGGCAGCTTTTAGAAGTTGCAGTGATAGGGTGCCAGCCAAGAAACCTGATAAAGAGGTGCCAGAGAGGTGAGAAGACAACAAACAAAGGGCGGTGCTTTAGAAGCCGAGGAGGAGGAAGTGGTAAACTGTGGAAGGAGGGAGTGGTAAACTATTGAAAATAACTGGTAAAGAAGTCATTGGCAAATATAGCAAAAGGAATTGTGGGCGAGAGGTAGGTCTGAGTGGAAGCCACACTGGAGTGGGTTAAAGAGTACATGAGAGATGGGCGCCTGGGTGGCTCAGTTGGTTGGGCGACTGCCTTCGGCTCAGGTCGTGATCCTGGAGTCCCTGGATCGAGTCCCGCATCGGGCTCCCTGCTCGGCGGGGGGCCTGCTTCTGCCTCTGACCCTCCCCCCTCTCATGTGCTCTCTCTCTCATTCTCTCTGTCTCAAATAAATAAATTTAAAAAAAAAAAAAGAGTACATGAGAGATGAAGAAGCAGTGATGGCGGATGCAGACATTAGGAACTTTGTGGATGGAGTAGAGCAATTGGGCAGTAACTGTGGAGGTGGGTTGTGGGGGTCAAGGCGGGGTTTTCTCAAAGATGCAGCTGCTAGTGGACACATGTGCTCAGGGGAATGAGCCAGCTGAGGGGAAGAAAAGGATACTTCAGGGGGAGAGGGGATGATCAGAGGAGCAAAGTCATACACAGACGGGGAAGGAAGACGGACTCTGGAGTAGCATTTGCCAAATCTGCTCTTTTTTTGTTCACATACCTCTACCGATAATTAAGCAAAAACAAAAGCAGTGTGCCCTCTCATCCATTTTTACCTGATGCCTACCTTTCTTCATAATTTTAAGTATTTGTAAAGGACCAAATTTCCACCTATTATATATTGTGTACCTCTTTATTCATTTCTAAAATTCTTTTCTTTTGGTGTTTCATTTTGGACAATTTCTATCGCCATGTTTTCAAGTTCACCAATCTTTTTTTCTGCAGTGTCTAAACTATTGTTAATTCCATCCAGTGGTTTTTCATCTCAGACAGTTGTTTTCATCTCTGCAAGTTCAATTTGTGTATTTTTAAAAATATCTTCCAAGTTTCTACTTAGCTATATGAACATATAGAATACAGCTATAATAATGTCTTTGCTAATTCTCATATCGGTGTCAGTTCTGGGTTGGTGTCAATTCGTTTTCCTCCTCACTATAGTTCATATTTTTCTGCTTATTTGCATGACAGGTAATTTTTTTATTAGGCCTCAGACACTGTAAATTTTGAGTTTTTGCGTGCTGGTAATTTTTGTATTCCTGTAAGTATTCTTGAGGTTTGTTCTGAGATGCAGTTATATTACTTAGAAACAGTTTGATCCCTTCAGGTCTTGCTTTTAAAATTTATTAGATGGGATGAATAACTAGGGCTAATTAAAAAAAGAAAAAAACTGGGGCTAATGTGTCTCCACTGCTAAGGCAAGACCCTTCTGAGAACTCCAACCAATGCTTCATAAATTATGAAGTTTTCCAGTCTGGCTGATGGGAACAGACACTACTCCAGTCCTCTATGAATACTGGCTACTGTTCTAATCATTTTGGATGATTCTATCCTTAGTCTCAAGTAATTTCCTCACATTTACGTGATGAGTAGTGCTCTGCTGAGGGGTGAGAGGCTCTACAGATCTCCAGAATTCTCTCTCTACGTACCTTTTTTCTCACCAGCACTCTGTTCTGAGCACTTTAGTTTGGATTGCCACAAACTCTAGCTATCTCCTCAGCTCAGGGAGCCTGCATGGCCCTGCCTGGGTTCTCCCTCCCTGCAATATGTCCTGGAAACTCTCTCAAGCAATAAGCTGAGGCAATCATAGGGCTCACCTCATTTGTTTCTTGTCTCTCAGGGATCACTGTCCTTTGTTGTCTGATGTCCACCATCTTGAAAACTGTTATTTCACAGTTTTTATATTTAGTTGATTGTTTCAGGAAGGAGGGCAAATCTGTTCCCTGCTACTCCATCTTGTCTGAAAGGGGAAGTTGTATATGTACTCTAAATGTATTTTTGTTCAAACCATGGAGCTGCAGATTTAAATCATTCCACTTTTGGATAATGCCTACCATATATCCTATGTGCAAAGCTAGACCTCTGTACCTATCAGCCAAATCAGACTGGCTTTCTTTTTTTTAAAGATTTATTTATTTTAGAGAGAGAGAGTAGGGGGAGGGGCAGAAGGAGTGGGAGAGAGGAAAAAATCTTAAGCAGACTGCCCACTGGCCATGGAGCCCTATGCGGGCCGATCCCATGACCCCGAGATCATGACCCCAGCAGAAATCAAGAGTCGGACGCTCAACTGACTGAACTACCCAGATGCCCCCAGACTGACTTTCTATCAGAAAAATCTGATACTGTCTTTCAGTCCAAACAAATGTGGTTAATATGCATCCTGTATCAACCTTTCACTCTTGAATTTAAGTTCTTAAATGAAGAAGGCACAGAACTGAATAACCACACAGAGGCCTCATAATGATTATAACTTTATCAAGGTCCTTCCAGGGCTTTTCAGCACAGAATGGCTTTGGACAACCAATCATTTACATATAGCACATAGTGGCTTTCTTTTGTTTCTCATCTTCCATCGAACTGAGTTACAATTTCTTCTCTTAAGCATAAACACCTCCAGACCTTGAGTTATAGTTGTCCCTGGGATCAAGGGTGTGGGTGGAAAGGGTGAGGAATGCCTGTTTTTTCTATCCCCAAGCAAATGGAATCTTGATGGATGGGATGGGGTGTCAGAGAGCTTGTCATTGCCTACATGTATTATCAAAGGCTGAGATAAGGCCACCATGGAAGAAAAGATCAGAAACTCTCCAGATAAATGGGTGAAGGTTGTAAACCAATGAATCTTCTTTCCTGATACCTCTCGCCTGCCTCCCTGTCCTGTCATGCAATGGGAGAAGAATGGAATGAGTTAGACGGGGCCGAGGAAATTTAGCTTATAAATCTCTTGCGAGATGTCTGTTTCAGAATCAGGCTGAAGCTGGGCTATTGCCTAAATATCATGGTATCACTTATGACTTGTGCCAGTAAAATCTAAGAGTGCTAGTCAAATCAGTCTCTATCATTGTCAACAAAGTGCCACAGCCATGGAAGGATGGGTTTTCCCGTAGTAACAAAGTAGACCAAGTTACAGTTTAAAAACATACAGCACACTTATTCATACTCTGAGTGTGAGTTCAAGGATCTGTGGCACAAATAGGAGAAATGACCTTAAGTCCCAGATGGGTGTCAATGTAGTTCCATTTTAAAGTGTCTCAGTGTTAAGAAAACTTTTCTTGAATTTTTCAGAGCAAACACGAATGCTTTAGCCGGTTTTCCCCTGCCGCAGCATGCTTCTAAGCCATATACTCATTGTAACCACCGGTAATAATAATAAAGTGAATAGGTCTGCTGAAACTCACAGGAAATTGGAAATGCTTTAAATCCTGCTTTCCAAAGTTGGGGCTGGAGAGGCAGGCTGGATTATCCATTCATGTGGGTTGCCTGCTGTTGGTATGGGTCACTCTAGCTGTGAGGTGATGTTTTAGATTACCACTGGGTTCTTCCAGTCTTTGGGCGCCAGTGTTATAAAGAACAAATCCAGTCAGTACCTCAGCTACTCTGGTTCATCTGCCTTCCTGTAGGGTTTTGTGGCTGTGGCCTGCAAGAATGGGACCCAGAAAGCTCTGAGTAGGATCCTCAGCTGTGCCCACAGCCCTGATGCCCACCCTACCCACCGCTCCGTATTCTGACATTTCAGTGGTTGTGTCAGGCAAAGTTTTGAAGCTCCAGTCCCAGACACCATGTCTCCCTTTGCAAGACACAAAAGAGGATGTGGAGGAGCGGGTTCTTTTGGTCCAGGTCCCTGCTGCCCCTCTACAATACAAGGCAGAAGAGCCTTGGTGAGCTGCTCAGGAGCAACTAAGACACTGGTCTCTCTTTTGAGTCAAGGCCAGACTTCTGCTCATGCTCAGGAGGAAGGGCTCACCTTGTCCTCCCTCTGGCTGATTGTCCCAGATGAGGCCAGGGCTCTCAAGGCGTGGCTGTGTGATACAGAAGGGCATTGTCCATGGTGTAGAGAAGCCAAGACCCTGATGAGCAGCCCCAGGCCAGAGAGGTGGAATTCCACTTGGACATGAGGATAGAGTGGTCCCCACAGACCTCCGAGAGGATAGGTCTAGTCCCTGCCTCCTCTTCCAGGTGTCAGGGGTCAAATGGGTTTGATTTTCTTATCTTGCAAAGGAGCCGATGTATCCTGTCATTCCCACCCATGGTCTTCTCTCTCTTCCACAACTCCTGTGTGTCATTTGGGTTTCTGCTCCACTTCTCATGGGCTACTTGCAGTGGGAGGTAGGTCTCAACAATATAGGAAAAAAACAAAACGAAAACACCTCTTGATTTGCCTCCAGCTCGATCACAGGCTGTCTGTCTGGCCCTAGAAGAATCCATCCCACTCTGTGATACTCATCTGTAAAACGGCCTGGATCAGTGGTTTTCATACCACATTCTGTGGAGCTGCCAGGAGCTGGAGGGGGCCCCGAGAGACACAGTAGAAAGGGAGGCTGAGCTGACTCTGTACACCCCCCACTCAGCACTCACCAGAGTAGCTGTTTTTTATCTGTTTTACATACTGTGTTTTCACACAAGGATTCTTTGAAGAAAGGATCCTGAGGCTACAAAGTTTGAAAACTGCTGGAATAAATGGTCATTAAGGTCCCTTCCAGTCTGAGATACTTGGACTTCTGAAGCCCAGCTCAAGTTGTCTCCCCTCTGGGAAGCCTTCCTGGTTACCTGATCTTGGGTACTTGACCTTTAGCAGTATGAATGGTGACAGTCGTGGCGCCGTCAGTGACCCGTCCGTGCCTGCTTATGTGTGCGAGCTGCTCCCCCAGCTAGCACGTGAGCTCCTCGAAGGCAGATGTTCAATTTCCCTTCCATGCTTCTGTCTCATTGTGGTTCCACATGAGAGTAAGTATTCAAGTAAATTTGCTCCAAGGGCCAGGAGCTCTCACATGGCACAAAACCTTGCAGAGACACTCTTTGCTTTGGGGACAGGGAGTCACCTTTTGGTCTCCTGAGTGCCCCCAGACAGACTTGTCCATAGGAAGCTGGGGACCCTGACCCGGGGAACAGTTTTGGACTCACACCCCCCCAAAAAGGGCCGGCCTGAGTTCCCGCCTTAGCTGAATTCTCTACTGCCCTCCGTGCCTCTCCTGGCAGGGGTTCTCCACACACTGTGGCCATGGAAGAAGCATGCCCCTGAGCCTGGGAATTGGCTCAGCCACGATGCCTCAGAGCTGGTAGGTTCTCAGTGGATCTGGAGGGAAGCACAGGGCTGGAGCAACTGCGGGCTTGCTCAGAGTATCGCTCTGTCTGGAGATGGAGGTCTGAAGACGGGAAGGATGGGAGTGTCCTCAGAGACACCTGCAAGGTGAACCAGCAAGTTAGCCACAGGCCAATGCCCTGGGGCATGTAGCCAGGAGAGTGGGAGTTCTAGTGGTGGAGTGAGCCAGGAAGCCCGCTCCCACACTTATGAGCTCTGTGACTGTGGGTCAGTCACTTAACCTCACTTATTCTCAACGACTTTACCTATAAATCAGGGGGCAAAAGGACCTGGCTAATTGCAGGCTACCCCAGAGTGAAACGGTGAGATTCCAGGGAGACATGGGTATGCAAGTTAAGTATTGTGTAAAGGAAGAGATGCAGGATGTAAAGGGTTCTTATTGTTTGTTTACAGGGGAGAGCACTCTTTCTGTGCCAGAGCAGCTCCCCACGAGGGACCATCCTGCGGTTTAGAGACACTCTGGGACCCACCAGCCCTCCTCCCCCTGCTTCGTTCCCAGCAGCCATCTTTGCCCAGCCTTGACAAATTGCTGGTCAGACTGGGGAGTATGAGGGTGTAGCACCATTCAGGAAAGAGGCCTCAGCCTAATTCTGGTCCAGAGAAGCTCCCCAAAGAGAAGGAAGTGTCCTGATAAAGAGCCCCTGAAAGGTGTGAGGTCCCGGAGGCTGCTGAGGTTCCCCAGGGCTCTTTTGGTTGGTGAGGCGCCATGCAGGGTCCCAAGGACTGGGCCTCTCACGCTCACTTAGCATGGGGGCCAGGTCAGCCTCCCCCTGATACCTGGGGCTACATATCTGGCCTTCCCTCTTCCAGAGGTCCTGGTTGGCACTACACGGGGCAGACGAGAGCTCAGCAAGTCACAGGACATGAGCCTGTGACCTTTCACTCCAAAGATCCGTCCCACTGAATCCTCCAGATGTGGGGAGTAAGCGGCAGCCTGGACCAAGGCTGACACATGTGGCAGGGTTTAAAATCCACAGCTGGGTGGTGAAACCTCTCCATGCTGAGGTGGGGAGACACCATCAGGCTCCATCTGGGGCTGCCTCGTCACCTCCGGCAGGCTCTGCACCCTAGTCTGGCCTCCCCGGGCCTCCCTCAGCTACTGTAGCCGGAAGTGTGGGTGCTGGGCCTGCGGAGCCAAACATCTGGCAGGTCTGGCTGGCTGTTGGGCAGCACCACGGGGCTGCCGTCCCCCGGGGCCCCACGGCCCTTCCAGGACGAGCTGCTCTGGTGGGAGGCAGGCAGTGATGGATCGTACGCCGTCTCCCTCAGTGCCAGCCACAGGGTGTCCCGCTTCCCGTTCAGCTGGCCCCGCTCGGGTACTGTTGGCTCAGTTTCATCCAGGTCGTCTGGGGAGGCACCCGCAGAATCTGGTACTCGGGCACTGGGCTCCGAGGCGCTCAGGCAGGTCTCATCAGAGACGCTGAGCCCCTCCAGGGTGCTGGCTGAGGAGGAGAGGCAATCAGGAGGCTCCACAGCCCTGGCTTTGGGAGCGTGGGCGGGGGCTTCTGGTAAGGCCTGCACAGGCTCAGCCTTCTGCCCCGGGGAGTCCTGCCTGCCTTGGGTCTTGGGGCTGCGGCCGGCCTGCTTATAGGGGGACGAGGTCTGCAGGGCTGGGCACTGGCTGAAGACGGCCTGGTGGTCCAGGAACAGCTCCCGCGGGGATGCAGGGGCCGGTGCGGGCCGGGAGAAGCAGGGGCCATCGTGCAGCTGGAGATCCTCAGAGAGCACTGAGGGCCGGTGGGACAGTTTGCTCGTGGCCGTGCTGGTGTCAAAGCTGGGGCTCCGGCGCCGTGCCAGGGGCTGGAGCTCGTACTGTTCCGAGCAGGATCCGGGCGCCCCTCCCACCGGCCCTGCCCGTGGGCGGCCTGCCTTCTCCCCACTCGGCTCCCCGGTTCCAGCGTCCCACGGCAGGTGGGCACAAGGCCAGAGGATCTGCCCACAGTTCTTCTCTGGCCCAAAGAAGCAGCACAGAGATTGGAAGAAGAAGCTGGCAAAGCCACAGCTGACACACTTGACCATCATCAGGACGATGCCCAGCTTGCGGTAGAGCAGCACTGTGGCGGGGAGCATGAGCACACCGGCGGCGAACAGGGCCGCGGCCCCCACTGCCGTGGCACAGCTGGTCTGGCGCAGGGAGAAGGCCACGCGGCTCAGGCGGTCAGGGTGTGGGCACAGGTGATAGGAGATACAGTAGTTGACGGTGAAGTCCACCGAGAGGCCCACAGAGGCGGAGAGAAAGAGGGCTTCGGCAGTGTTGAGCTGCCATTCAAGGAGAACCAGGAGGCCCACGGTGAGCAGGACGGTGCCCGCCACAGCTGCCACGGAGAACAGGCTGAGCGGCACGTTCCAGGTGCCCAGCAGCAGCGTGGCAAAGGCCAGCGCCAGCGCCAGGCCCAGCACCACAGCAGGTTCTGTGCTCAGGCTGTGCTGCAGGCTGTAGAGCTCCAGATGGCTGGTAAACCAGCCCCGGTGCAGGCCGGCGGGTGCCCGGCCCAGCTCGGCCGCCAGCCAGTGGCTGACCTCAGTGTAGAAGCGGTGGGCCTGGCTGTAGTCCGGACTATGCTGGAAGTTGGTCTGGAACTGCAGAACCAGGGCGGCCAGGCTGCCGTGGGCATTGAAGCGGGGTCCTAGGTCGCGGGTGCTGTTGGGGCCTTGCTCCAGAGCCATCATCTTGAGGCAGTGCAGGAAAAGCTGCGGTGCCCAAGGGAAGCCTGCGTGGCCACAGCAGAGGCCCGGCCCCAGGCGGCCACAAGCGGGGCTCTGCACCCAGCGCTGGAGGGCCTCCACGAAGCACAGTGTGGGCCAGCCCTCCGGCTGGGCTCCGAAGAAGCTCTGATTCCGAGCTCCGTGGCAGAGGGCCAGCAGCCAGCGCTGGGCCTCGGGACCGCCGGCCGAGAAGGCGGGGTCGCTCACCAGCGAGCTGTCGCTGCGGGGGTCCAGCGGGTCGCCGGTGTCCACCGGCAGGATGCCCCACACCAAAACCACGGGCATGTGGCCGCCCTCGCCCTGAGGCAGCCGCTCGAACAGGAACTGCTGGCGGTACTCGGCGTCGAAGCGCTCGAAGGGGTGGCTAGGCCGGAAGACCTGGCCGCGCGCCGGCGGCAGGGTGGGCAGCCGCAGGCGGGGGCTGACGCCCGCGATGTAGGCGCCCCCGGCC